GAGGCCCGAAGGAAGCCTCCGGACCCTCGGGAGGGCGAAAAACGGCCTTCCCAGAAAAACCAGAAGTGGCAAAACAGGCCTATTTCTGGCTTCCAGTGGGCCTCCAGAGGCCCAGGGGAGGCCTCTGGACCCTTGGGATGGTGAAAACAGCCTTCCCCGGGCTCTGGAAGCCCACTGGAATCCAGACATAGGCCTGTTTTGCCACTTCCGGTTTTTCCGGGAAGGCCGTTTTTCACCTTCCCCAGAGTCCGGAGGCTTCCCCAGAGTCTGGAGGCCCACCGGAAGCCAGAAACAGGAAGTCCTGGTAGGCCCTGCTCACCATGGCTCCACCCACCCAGCAACCACCCCTCCAGGGCTTTGAGAAAGTGGCCATGCTGTCCCTTTCAAACAAAGAAAACACCTCAAGAAGGCCTCAAGAAGGCCAAGGCTTCAGAGCTTTGTTGTTTTTTTTCAACATTGGGGAAACTTTTTTGCTCGTTTCTTGTACCTTCAAGTTTTGCCACACCTGTCCTTAATTCCATGTTGAAATAACACGTCAAATAACTTCCCCGCAAGTGCCGAAAACACACAGGAGCACAAAATTAAAGGCATACAAACGTTAGTAGAATTCACTCACGAACAAGTGGAATTTTTCTCCCCACCCCCCACCATGAAATATCTTTGGTTTTTAGCCGATGTTTAGTTAAGAGTGACATGGTTGGACCAAAGGTAAAAACACAGCACTCCAAAAAGCAGCATGCATAGAAGATGCAAAATACAAGATGACAGAGTCGGAAGGGAATTCTGGGAATGGAAGTCTGGAATTCTGGGAATTGAAGTCCACCCCACTTAAACTCGCCAAGCTAACATTGCTCAGAATGGACAGGTTCTGGCAATTGAAGTTGGGAATTCTGGGATTTGAAGTGTAGAATTCTGGGGATTGAAGTCTGGAATTCTGGGAATTGAAGTCCACCCCACTTAAACTCCCCAAGCTAACATTGCTCAGAATGGACAGGTTCTGGCAATTGAAGTTGGGAATTCTGGGATTTGAAGTGTAGAATTCTGGGGATTGAAGCCTGCAATTCTGGGAATTGAAGTCTGGAATTCTGGGAATTGAAGTCCACCCCACTTAAACTCCCCAAGCTAACATTGCTCAGAATGGACAGGTTCTGGCAATTGAAGTTGGGAATTCTGGGATTTGAAGTGTAGAATTCTGGGGACTGAAGCCTGCAATTCTGGGAATTGAAGTCTGGAATTCTGGGAATTGAAGTCCACCCCACTTAAACTCACCAAGCTAACATTGGTCAGAATGGACAGGTTCTGGCAATTGAAGTTGGGAATTCTGGGATTTGAAGTGTAGAATTCTGGGGATTGAAGCATGGAATTCTGGGAATTGAAGTCTGGAATTCTGGGAATTGAAGTCCACCCCACTTAAACTCCCCAAGCTAACATTGGTCAGAATGGACAGGTTCTGGCAATTGAAGTTGGGAATTCTGGGATTTGAAGTCTAGAATTCTGGGGATTGAAGCCTGGAATTCCGGGAATTGAAGTCTGGAATTCTGGGAATTGAAGTCCACCCCACTTAAACTCACCAAGCTAACATTGGTCAGAATGGACAGGTTCTGGCAATTGAAGTTGGGAATTCTGGGATTTGAAGTCTAGAATTCTGGGGATTGAAGCCTGGAATTCTGGGAATTGAAGTCTGGAATTCTGGGAATTGAAGTCCACCCCACTTAAACTC